GTTGCCCTACAACTTTGATTTAAAAAAAAAACATAAGTGTTCAGTATATATGCGCGGTTTGACCTAATCATCTTATTTCTGAGATTTATTTATATTGATTATTCTTTTATCAAAGTTGTAGGACCTACAGGGTGTCCCGAAATCATATAGAAATATTTCAACCACAGGTTCTAGGAACGAAAAATTGTTGAAAAAGTTAATATAAACACGGGTCCAGAAATGGCCCCTAGGGACTTATTGCCGTCTGAAGGAGAACCGAGGTGATGGTTTTATGTGAATATTCTCGAAACCCTCTGTGATGAAGTAACCAAATTTTGTACATGTGCCTAACTTGTCATGCCCAATTTGAAAATGTTGAAAATTTTCCGAAATTTCGATCAGGGGCGTTGGAAATAGGTGGGGCTATAGCCAGTTTTTCTCCCAACTGTTTTGTAATGCAATAATTTTTGGCAGTTTGACCAGGAAATATGAAAATTTCATATTTTTTACTTAAAAATTGTACTTTTTGTTTAGTTTAGTGTAATAAATAATAATATTTTGAATCAAACATCGAGAGTAGATGTTGAAATAGGGGGTATTTTCCATCAAACCATAATTTTTGTGAAAATTCGGTATGCCATTAAAGAAAAAGCAATATTTTTATTCGGCAGCAGAATCTTAAAATCGATTTATCTCGAAAATGGTGAATGCTATCGGAACTTAACCGGAGTACAATTTGTAAGTAAAAATGATGAGATTTCCATTCCTTAAAATTTTCAAATCGTTCATAAAAAGTTAGCTACATGTACGAAATATAGTTATTTTATCACAGAGTAAGCCGAAAATATTGACATAAAACCATCAGTGGGGCATTTTTGGGCCCATGCATGTTCATACACACTTTTTTTGCCATTTTTGTTCTTAGAATCTGCCGTTGAAATTTCTCTATGTAATTTCGGTACAACCCTGTATATAAATATACCTATAATCAAACGCCCTGCATATTCTGAATCAATTATAGGTTCAGGATATGATAATGCGATAATGTTATTAATCATATTTTTTCTGAGGGAGTTACCGACTTACATTCAAAATGTGTGACTATTTTGACCGATTGGTTTCAGGTTAGTAGGTAGTAGGTACTACTATTACCTAGTAGTAGAGTAACTCATGCAAAATTATTATTTGAGATCAATAGCTACGTATTAATGATTTTCCAGAAGAACTGATGAGATTTGAGTCTTCATTGAAATATTTAGCACATTATCATTTCATATAGATGATTTTCCCATAACACGTGAGTCTTTTTGCAGAAAACAATCTGCCAGTCGATAATTATACTCTACAGGTTTGGTATAAATATACCTCTATACCTATCTCATCATAACAATCCTTCCAAGATTGATTGAACAATGTGTTTGGAATAAGACTAGAATAGAAGCTACACACTTGGACGGCAAACATATTCCTAACATATTGAGTATTTCTTTCTCTGATACCTAAAATATACACTCCTAAACGTATTACTGACCTAACCACGAACTAACAAGATGTAAAGAAAGCTTAAAGAACATGTTTATATAACTGCTGATTTTTCCATGAACATTGTTATCAAAAATGTGTGATTTCTTATAAAGTACGAATATAAATAATTATAAATACTTTTGTCACGTTAATGTTTATTGTCTCATCTTTTTGAGCAATCAAAGTTTTATGCTAAAATGTACAGATATATGCATCACCCTTTCATACTTCGAATAAAGTACTATATAAAATACAAAAAGGTTGTTTCTACAATTACCTACATTGTGGACACTTCAAACCTGATTTTATTCCATGATATAAGAATGGTCGGTACTGAATCATGGAATCAGAGCAGGTTTTAGTGTAGGTATGTATACATCAGACAATATGTGACTAATGGCTAAGGACGGAATATTCGGTATTTTGGCAACAGCCGTTGTGGACGGAACAATATGCTATCAATATATAATATATTATGTCAGTGATCAAAATTTGTAAACAATTGCTAATACCCTGCATTATTATAGATAAACACCTACCTTGCAATGAAAATCTGGTTGTTAAACACAAATTGGGTAGTGTGTAATGTTAAGCGTATAAGGAATATAGCCCATATCAACATTGATTATGGTTATTATAATCAGAGTAATAAAATATAGGTAGCAAATATAGGTACTCCATCAAAGATATATGCCGTCAACGGAGGCGGTGACGGAGGTGAAACGGATATAGTGGGGTGAATAAGAGGATCGCAGAGCAGCCTCATACATTATCGTTGAATGTGTGTATCAAATATGGATATAAATAAAGACATATATTATTAGGATTATTAATTTTTATTATTCTTATATAATGAATTATATCAATTATATGAACACGCGAATGAGCATCCAGACTTCGGCTGACGTTTAATTACAGCCTTTTTTAAGGGATAATGTGAATAAATACTTCGGATTGAAGAACTGATCAGGGTATTCGGATTATGGATATTATTTTCCGATATAATTGGGTGTTGGGATTATCCAGCATTTGGGATTATAGAAGGTTCGGACTATCGCATACATCACACTGTACCACAAATCGAAGTGTACATAAGGTATATCATGTCAACTTCACTCAAATCACGGGTCTTCAGCATTGTCTTGTGTCCTGTGTGATTCTCGATCATGTAATTTTCATCATTTCTCCCGGAGGAATTATTTTTTATATATTATTTAAATTTGAAAGAATGCCCACATGAAAGAAAACGACAGATTCGAGCGTTTCATCCAAAAATAATTTCTTTAATTTTTTACGAATTAAACGAGAGGGCTGTGTACAAACCCAACTTATACATATGTGTCATATATGTTTGAATCCTCAAGACCTCCATAGAGATTCCAATAATTTGATGATATATAGGATGTGTTCTATGTGGGAAATTGTTCGTGGACATTAATACTCTTAATTTCAGATCGATTTGTTCCAGGAGATTGCTTAGAAATGGATAGTTTGATTGAAAATGTATGTGTTTATCAGAACTTTACGAGACCACTGATGTGTTTATACAATGATTTAAATGGGCGTTGAAATGATGTGTCCCAGCATACCTCAAACACTCGCTCAAACATGGGGTTTCATGAGACAGGCACATTTCAAGGAACAAAAGGCGTGTTATATTGATAATATTCTTGCATGAATTTTAGGAAATACTCGCTAACTACATACAGGGTGTTTCAGGGTTGTGGTTAAAAAAGCCTATCGGAGATTCATGCTTCGTTTCCGAGATATAGGGGTGTCCAAGTTTAAAAAAATGAGTTTTTCATCAATATCTTGAAAAACTATTCCTTCCAAAGAACGTATACATTTAAGAGAGGGTATTGAATTTAATATCTTTTTTGTTTTATAGATAGAAATGTGCAATACATTTTTGGATAATATCTAAGCATTTTAATTTTTTCTCATGGAGATCAGAGATACGCTGAGATTGTCGAACGAGGCATCAAGATACGAAAAAATAGCAGAAGACAGAATATTTTCATTTTTAGTGGGTTTATCTGATTATTCAAAGACAGACAAAAAAATACAGGGTGACTCTTTTTACTAAAAAAAACAGACTTACTCGATGGGTACGCCTCTGGAAATTCTGGGTGGAATCAAATTGAACCAATAAATGTCTCAAAATTGTGTAATTAAACCATAGATCTATCAAACCATAAGAATTTCATTCAAATTGGCTGGAGCTTTTCAGAAATTAATGAAAAAATCTTTTTTTTCCAACTTGGACATCCTGTATTTTGGGAACGAAGTTGTTTTTGTACCCATGTTCATATGAACTTTTTTTCATATTTTGTTGAGATGAATCTTCTCTAGACTTTTGTCACCACAACTCTGAAACGCTCTGTATAGGAGTTTTTCAATCAAGAAAATTGTTGATCAATCGACTGTGTCATATTTTGGAGATTTTGGACTCGGCCAAAGCCATATTGCCTACCTATATTTTATTACAGGGGCTCACCCTTGATTCCATTGACTACCAAATAATGCGGATGTCGTTTGACTCGTTTTTGTACAAAAGTACAGGGATGATTTGAATCTATCTGTTTCAGAATAGAAAAAAGCTATTTTCTACTAGTTAGGTACTTGAGCAAAATTGATTATACGCCCATAACTTCTCATTACCCACTTGGAAATATTAACATTCTGTGAACTTTAATTCTGATGACACGTTTATGTAGTTGGTTGCTCATTTTTGATAGGATTTCCAATGATGGAAGTAAGATATGGTGCGCGTATTCGGCCATTATTACGTATTGAAAATTTCAGAAAACACTCGACCGCCTACTATGATTTCTTTACGTCGCAACAAGCGAAACGCATTGATTCTTCATTTTCCCGCTCGCTAGATGGTGATGCTGCTATTGCTGCTGTGACGAGTGGAAATGAGAAGGCAAATGGAATTTTAGGTACGCGGAACATACGCAACAGTAGAATTATTCAACTCTGAATTCGAAAAATCTGTGACAATTCCAAAACTGACAGATGTCATAATTGTGCAATGTCGCCATCTATTAGAAGATCGACGGAACCATTCCTCTAGCTGTTCTGGAGAGGTCGAGTAAAATTTCTCAAACAAAAGCGCATCAGTAATTACATCATATCTTACTTCCATCATTGGATTTCCTACAAAACGATCCAATTTCTACGATAACGTTATTAACCTTTCTAATACGCTTTCTAGTACGCTTTTGTATTGAATACCACTGTACATGGCGAGCTAAGGATTGCCTAGGTAGGTACTTCATAATATCGGCGAATATGTAATTTTTCAGTTACATATTATGATATACAGCTAACTAACAACACTGAAGAAGTCCATTCCAGCAGCATCAATTCAGTCATCAAAGGAACTTTTGTCCAACGAAAATAATCTTTCAGCAGCTTCAGACATCTACCAGGTATCTCGATTCAGTTGAAACACATTTTTCAAATATATACACAGGGGCACAATCCCTCTCTTATCTGTCCACGTCCTTTCTGTCTAGTAACTCCATCAGAGCCGAGATGTAAGTCTGCGCCATCTGTAGGGTTTCGTATTTACTAAGTTTGTGTTCGGCGTCTAGACTTGGGATGACTTCTCTCAGCTTGTCGAACGCATCGTTGAGACCGTTCATCCTCCGTCGTTCGCGCGCGTTGGCGGCTAGCCTTCGCCTCCGCATTATAGATGGCGATGCAGGCCTGTCTCTCACGATCACTTTCCTTCGACCTGGAATGGAAAATAATGGGTCAGACGGTACCTCAAAACTAGTAAATTGGTGGACGATGACGATATCAAAGCTGGATTTGTAATGTACCAAGCGTAGAAAGACCACTGTTGTGTGTATTTTATTTTATCTGTTTCCATCTTTATCTATTACTATAGCTGATCCGGCAAACGTTGTTTTGCCATAAACATTATTTCTAGAAAAAAATTTTTAGATAAATATTTATCAGAAAACTTTCATTATTTCATTTTTACTTCTTTTGGTTTGCCAATCAATAAATCAGGATTCATTTTATCAAACTACTCTTCATTTTCTACTACTCTTCTTTTTAGTTTGGCTATCTATAAAAAAGTGTTTCATAAGTTTTTCAAAACAATATTTATTTCAATAGCTGATACCCGGCAAACGTTATTATGCTATATATACAATTATTTCTAGAAAATATGCTTTTAGTTAAATATTTATCAACATACTTTTATTATTTTGTTTTCTAATTTTTCTCTGACCCCGAAAACACACATACATATTTTGAATAGAATCGGATGATAATTACAAAACTCAGTTGCCATATTGGATCCTTCATCTTAAATTTCCTAATTTTGATGAAGAATCATAATCTTTGATCCCAAAATCCCCCAGATACAAATTTGGAATAGAATCGGATCATAGTTACAAAACTAGTCCGCCATATTAAATCTGTCATCTTGGATTTCCAGATTTTGATGAGAGAATCATTATCTCTCCGACTCAGAAAAGTCCCCGATACCAATTTTGCATAGAATCTGATCATAATCAAAAAACTCGTCCGCCATATTGGATCCGCCATTTTGAATTTCCCCATTTTGACAAATGATTCATATCTCCGACCTCTGAAACCTCCAGATAACAATTTTGAATAGAATCTGACTATACCCGCAAAACTCGCCCGCCATATTGGATCCGCCATTTTGAATTTACAAATTTTGACGAACGAACCATAATCTCCGACCCCGAAAACCCTCAGATACCAAACTTAAATATAATCGGATGATAATTACGAAGCTCGTCCGTCATATTGGATCCCCCATTTTGAATTTCCTAATTTTGATAAAAAATCATAATCTTTGACCTCGAAAACCCCCAGATACCAATTTTGAATGGAATCTGACCATAATTAAAAAACTCGTCCGCCATTTTGAATTTCCTGATTTTGGTGAAGAAATCATAATCTCCAACTTCGAAAACCCGCAGATACCAATTTTGAATGGAATCTGACCATAATTACAAAACTCGTTCGCCATATTGGATCCGCCATCTTGAATTTCCGAAATTTGACGAAAGAATCATAATCTTCGACCCCGAAAACGCCCAAATACCAATTTTGAATGGATTCGGATAACAATACTCGTCCACCATATTGGATCCGCCATCTTGAATTTTCGATTTGAAAAAATAGATTACGACCGACTCTCATACATACCGAATACGCACAAAAAATTTCATACGAATCGGTCGAGCCGTTTCGGAGGAGTTCGACCACTAACACCGTGAACGGGACAGGAGAATTTTATATACAGTATGATGCAAATGTATGGAATAAATTCATTATTTCAGAAATGGGCGACATTTGAAAAAATTCCAAAAACACGTGAGTTTTAATTTCTGAAGCCTCATCTCATGATATTCATATGAGAGATGTTACGTCACCGGTGTTGGAGTGAAGACGTAATGGACGATTTTTTCAAATACAAATAGGGGTCATGTGACACCTTGATTGAAAGGTCTACCGATCGTCTATTCAACAGTCAAAATGTTGCATAAGAAGATTGAAATTGAAATGGATTATCATGTGATTAATTGAATCTTGCAGAGGTCTGCTACTGAGAATTGAACATCGAAGGGTCGTCTAGTTAAAAAAATACGTCGAAAAAAAGTTCTAAACTCTAGTTTTTTTTTTTTTTTCGAAATTCGTCTTGTTTTGAAATGAATTTATTCCATACATTTGCATCATACTGTATATATTAGATTTTGATGACAATAATTGATTATCAGTATGGTGCAATTGAAAGGTATAAATTCATTTCTAGCCAATCTGTCTATTTTTGAGAAATGTTCTGAAACACACGTCTATTTTTTCTTTCAAGTTTTCACATTAATAAGTGGAAATTGAATATATACAGGGTGGTCCGAATTTGAGTTCTGACGTCTGCGACAATTTCATGAAATGAAACACCCTATATATCTTATTCAATTTTTGGAATATCCATGAAAATATATTGCAAATAGGGTTTATTGTATACAGTGCTTCCGTTAAATTGAGTGCACTCGTGAAGTACCTAGTAGGTACATTCATTTTTAGTCGAGCTATCCATTTAAGGATATTCCTAGAACAGGTTGATTTTTATTTCCAATTTGCCACATTTATAAGGAAGAATTAAATATGCAGGGTGATCCACGTTTGATTTATGACGTCCGCGAATTTTTTTTGGAACGGAACACCCTGGATATTATCATATATTATTAAATTTTTTGAAACTCTGTGAAGTTTGATTCAAAATTATATCACAGATGGATTTTGTATAGGTACAGTGCGTCGATGAGTCCGCAGTGCTCTCGTAAAATGGGGTCGCATTGTATACGAAATCTGTGTAATCAAGGTTGGTAAAACTGATGATTATTTTGTATATAAATATAAATTATAATCAGTTCTACCAACCTTGTGTGTAATATTTTTTGGGATCAAGCTTACATATGTGATATATCTGATGTATGCAACCCACATTGCATACATATGCACATGCGTGGTTGAAGCGAGAGCGGACAGCAGCGCTGGACGCTACAGAGTTTAGAATAAACCAGTTGCCTTCTAGATGTTGTATCAATCACACCTGTCCCAGAATATATAACATGGCGCAGTCTTGAAAAAAGAACCACATGTGCCGGTAGTCAGCCATGATGAATTATTGAGAATCAAAATTTATTAAATGGTAAATGAAGTTATAATATCTTCAAAATGGATTATAGAGGAGTCCCACCAATGGTTATGACAGGAAATATTCCCGAAAATTGGAAATTTTGGAAACAAAGGTTCCTGACGTATCTTCAAGCCACCGAAATCAGCAAAAAGGAAGATGTAACAAAATGTGCTCAACTATTAACTCTCATAGGAGACGAAGGTATTCGAATATATAATACATTCACTTTTGAAAATGACGAAGTTGACAAATTTGACCCTCTGATCAAGAAATTTGATGATCATTACAACCCAAAACGAAATCTTGCTTTTGAACGTCATAAATTTCTAACGTGCAGGCAAAAAGAAGGTCAAACTATAGATCAGTATATTACGGAATAGAAGAACTTGTCATTAAATTGTGAATTGAATACACTTCGAGAGGGTTTAGTCAAAGACATATTGATATGTGGTATGATATCAGAAATATTGAGAGAAAAATTGTTACAAGAAGATGTAGATTCCTTGCAAAAAGCGATAGACATTTGTATAACTATGGAAAACGCTAGAGATAACAATAAAAAAATCTCCAATGGATATGGAATGCACAGTACCATGGTCAACGTAGATTTTGTGAACAAAAATCATCATTCCAAGCCAAGCAGTCAAAACAGAGTCAGAAAAAGTTTTAGAGGTAGAGATGCAGAGAGAAGACAACCTGAGAGATATAATGCAAAGCCTATGACCAGGAGCTGCAGGAAATGTGGTAACCAACATGGTTATGGAAAATGTCCCGCTTTTGGTAAAAAGTGTCAAAAATGTGGTGTTCTCAATCATTTTTCCTCAAATTGTAAAAATAAAAACTTCAATCAGAGTAATAATTACCAAAGTCAATCTAGAAATGTTCATGCAATAATTGAAAATGATGTTATCCATGATAATAATGATTTTCTTTTCATAGGGAGCATAGAAGATGCTGGAGGAAAGGAAGTGGACAATCTTGATGTGGAATCATGGGTTCTGGATCTGGAAATAAATGAAAGACCAGTAGAATTCAAACTTGACACTGGGGCAATGGCAAATGTAATATCTGTAAGTGTTTTGAAATCAGTAAATTTCGATTTCAATAATTTGTATAAAACAAATATAAAATTACGTTCATATACTCAAGATAATTTATCAGTAATTGGTCAATGCAATATAAGATGCAAATTTAAAGGAAATTTTGTACATCTTTTATTTTATGTGGTTAATACAGAAAGTATTCCATTGTTAGGCTTAAAAACATGTATAGATTTAAATCTTATAAAAAGAATTGAAACTATAGAAACTGACCCTGATAAAAGTATAAAAACAACAAAAAACTTGTTGGTAGAACAGTTAGTAAAAAAGTATAATTTTCTGTTCGAAGGTATTGGATGTTTAGATAAACTGCATCATATTGAACTTAAAGAAAATGTTCAACCAGTAGTTCACCCAGCTAGAAAAATTCCATATGCAATTTTAGATAAATTTAAAGAAACTATTGATTGTTTAGTTGAACAAAATATGATTGAAAAATCAGAAGAAAGTGCAGATTGGGTAAATGCTATAGTAATAGTTCGAAAAACAAATGGACAACTGAGAATCTGTTTGGACCCTATTGATCTAAATGAAGCTATTAAAAGACATTATTTCCATTTACCTACTTTGGAAGAATTAACTGCAAAATTGTCAGGTGCTCAATATTTTAGTACTTTAGATGCAACCCAAGGTTTTCTTCAGATTAAACTAGATGAAGAAAGCGCGAAATTATGCACTTTTGCAACGCCCTTTGGCAGATATAGATTTCTTCGATTACCATATGGCTTATCTAGTTCTTGTGAAGTTTACCAAGAAAGAATGGAAGAAATATTTGGAAATATAAAAGGAGTTAAAGTATATGTTGATGATCTGATAATATCAGGCAGAACGATAGAAGAACATAATTCTCGTTTAAAAAAAGTTTTTGAGTTAGCTGTAGAACATAAACTTAGATTCAATA